ATTCGACTGGTTCATACCAGTAAAAGCCAATTTTGCAGGACCAACCTTTCGATATCAAATTGGATCGATGGTTTTGTTTTAAGAAATGTGCGCAAATGATAGCTTTGGCGCAAACGTTGGACGAAACAGACACTTTTTATTTGTTATTCTATGAAATTTCATTAAAAACATCGATTTATAAATGTCAACGTTAATCAATATTTACTAACTGACATAAAAAGTAACGCGTTCTGTAGAGACAGCTGATTTTTAATAATAATATTTCAAGTTAAGTGCTAAATAATTAACTCAAACTAACATAAACCGGTTCTAAGAATATTATTATGATGCGTTAAATAGTGACGTTCATAACCGGTTCTAAAACATAATATAAATCCAGGATTCGGTTTTCAACAGGACCAGTTATCGACCTTTAAATATGTTGATACTGAAGACAAAGGTGCTCAAAAATATTCGATACTTCATAACAGTAGAAGAAACGTAATAATATTAACATTCAGTAAACAATTTAATACGATTTTCTTAAAGTAAAGTGAAAATAGAAGGAGGCATTAAAGACTTAAAACAATTTATGGATGCGCGCTGTTAGTTTTTGGGTTTTACGATTTTCATGTGCATAGCTATGTGTTTCAATGTTCCTATAGACTTACCTAAATTTGGATAGAGATTACTAATTTCCAAAGGCATTTTCAATGTATACAGTAGGCTGTTAGGGTGCGTTAACTTAATGCTGTCTTAATTGCGGACCCGCTAATAATTAGTGATTTCGTTTAAAATTCAATGATGGCATAGGCATACGATTAATCCACAAGTCAGCGGTGATACGTATGTGCTTGGTACAAAACAATCAACAATCATGCAAGCATAAGTTTGTATTTCTGAGAGGTTGAGTAAGACCACCTGTCATTTCTATTCAACATCATAGGCGGCTTTAAGTAAGCACACAGAAAATAAGTTATATTTACATATGTATATATGTAATTTACAGTTATGAGTAGCTAAGCTTGTGTGTAGGAACGTTTTCACGCGACTGTCTAAATTTAATCGTACTCATTTAAATTCATCAACGCAGAAAACTGTTGACCGTGTCAAAGTGGCCTTAATTATATCTGGCATTAAAGTTTAAGCGATTAATCTCTTCGAAATCTAAAATAATTGTGGTGAATTTATTCGTTTAAATATCGATTACGAATTAAATGGGATTTACATTGATTTCAGGTTTAAATAATTTAAAGCTTTAAACATAAGTACATGTACATACATAACAATTATTTTACTACTAGTAGCTCCTCCAAAAGTTTAATGCAAATTTATTTTCATTTCGTATTGAACTTTACAATAAATCCTCTGTAAACTCAAAAAATACGACTTCAGTCTTAATTACACTACATCTGGTGTTACATCACCAAAATTTTTCTTAATTTCTTTGTTTTCTAAAATTTAATCCAACATATCTCGATAAAGCTAAGTTTGTCATCACCTCGTAATTCTTGGTGGCCTTGAGTCGAAACCTTGATCGGAGGAACTACTCTATGTCCATGCAATAAAAGTATCTGCCCAAAATCCAGTTTTCTTACGTCACTCCTACTTTCATCGAAATCAGACTTGCAGACACTTGCTTGATGTCTCTTCCTGGTTATCTCTCAGTCCTCCATATTACGTATACAAGCGCCAACATCAGCGGAATGCAATACAACGCGAAGTATGAAGAGAATAGAATAGCGTCTGCCCGCATGTAGAACAGAACAAAGTAAGACTAAGATTTCCGGCTGGAAAAAGATTTTATCGCTCGCTGGACACATAGATATACTATATAGTAGGTCGGATGATTTGACAAAACATTAATTATAATTCTAATATTATCCATATATCACTTTGAAATTTCCGCCAACAGTCTGAGGTTGAACGACGTCGAACAATTTCCACCATGAAAGAAAACATAAAGCTGCATAGATGGCTCCATTTCGAAAGGGTGGTGTTTGATAGATGCCAAGAAGTTGGAGATGGAAGGCGTGGTTTAATTGCTTTAGACCAGAATACTAACGAAAAATTAAACATAAGTCCATTATCTTGCCTTCGCAGATAAGACACGCAGCCAGTTCTTCAAAGTGCTCTCTCTAAGAGCGTTGTGTACAGATGTCTCAATTTCTGTATACTGTGACCGAAGACATAACTAACATAAGCTTCTTCAAACTCGGAAAAATTTTTGATTTGACAAAAAATATAGCGCAACTGCAAACAAAAAAGTAAAGAACGGCTGAGATCGATTGTAACGGAACATTTTATACTCTCGTAATTTTCTGGGATAAAACATTGGCATATTTTCAGGTGTTGGGAACACTTTATATAAACAAGTAAAGGAGCTCTAAGTTCGAATATAGCAAAACAGTTTATACTCTCGAAATTTGGCAAGCGGAAGAAATCGGAAATCTTTATTATTAGGGTTATGTGGTTTACACCAAAATCTGTACCAATCCCATTTAAATTCGGCGTTAAACCTCATTATTTTTAAGAACAATTGTCCACTTAATTTCATTAAAATATCACACATACAAGTATTGATCGACATTAGTCAAAATGATCTGGACTGATTGAATTAATATTTGGCATTACTCGAGAACATGTCTCCACCCAATTTCGTGAACATAAACCACACACAGACCGGCATATAGGGCATAAAGTTTGCCGGACTGATGTTATTCGTTAGCTGATTTTCCGCAGTTTCGGCATTAAATTATAGTATACCAGTGTTATACGTTCACTTAATTTTAATAAGATATCTTACACATTGACCTATATATACGGTCTGATTTTGACTGGTGAAATTGGTGAAGCTGTTTCTGAGATTTGGGATTTCATTTAAAAGTGAGCGGTGCCTCGCCCATTGCCCAATTTTAGCACCGGCTCCTGTAACGTCTTTCCGCAGCGCATTGACTGTGAAATTTACTAACAGAAGCAAGTGAGTTATTGCACTTTGAGTAGTTTCCAACATAACCGTTATATGAGTGGGCAAAGTTTTCAATCTAACCCATTTTCACGGTTCGGGGGAGGTTCGAAAATATTTGTCCTGAGCAAATTTGCTTAATATAGCTCTACAACAGATACTAATGTACCAAGATATCTAAATTTTGACTCAAGTTACAGCTTGCACAGCCGTACGGACGGAAGGACAGCAAGTCCCCCGGATTTAAATCCTGATAATTTACATATACATAATATATATAACTCTGAATCGATCTAGATTATTTTCAGGTGATACAAACCTATTATACTTCACAGAAACATGTTGTCTGAGTTTGGGACGTAGAAGGGCAAAAGAGCGGGACCAGATTTTTTATATCGGAGAGTGTAAAGTACTTGCACATAAAAGGTTCTACTAGGAATCTTGTGAGAACTATTAAACCATTGTATTTTGTAAAACCTTAATTGCCGAAAATTGCCACTTTTAGCCCAAGAACTACGATAAGCTCTGCGTCAGAAATTACGAAGAGAAGTTGGCTGAAAAGATAAACAGAACAGCAAGAGTCTCATACTGTACATTTTTTCTATGATTATTAAAGGTACTGCAGGCTTTCGTCATTAACTCTTGACTTCCGAGGCCTGTAGCGTTAAATTAGAGGCTTTTCTTTTCTAAGTCTACTTCTGATGGAACTTCTCCCTAACCAACTATCCAACAACATTTTGCAAAGTTAATTGAAATTTATTTTTAATTCTAAAGTTTTTCTTTTGGTTTTACCATTTCCTTGACATCCTACTTATATTTTAAATGGACCGAACTCGTTATGAATTCGTATAAAAACGCCTCTACTATTGTGAATTGACACAGAACAACCTCTTATATTCCCGACACAACCCACTATATGTATGTAAATTGAAGAATTCACCACAAATATTGATATCGATATCGTACATATATCGATAACGTACGTTCTTTGCCTTAACTGCTACGATAATGTATCGTATGGTTTGTATTTCCCTGTATTAAATCTCTGTTCTCAATTAACGTTATTTTATGTAATACCGTATTTAAAGGCAAGAACGTATTTTAAAATAGATCGTATTTAAGTTGACGTAGATTGTTATAATTTCTCGTAATTTGGAAAAGATGGCCACATTCTCTGATTCTAATATGGTTGCAAGCTTTGGTAAAGACTTAGATGGTTTCAAAAACAGCTAAAAATACTAAAAATTGTTAAAAAGTTTGATAGGTCCGATTCCATCTAATCTTTTACACCGCATTTTGACACATTTTCTATAGAAACATCGTACAAATGGCATTTGTGTTTAGGAGAATCTGATTTCATGACAAAAATACTTCCTTTACTAAGAGGTTAGTTGAGGACAAAGGCTTGAAAAATAGTCAATTTTAAATAATGCTTTTGTTATCAGTAAATTATTTTATTTCAGAAAGGTAAAAACATTTTTTTTTAAGCAATTGCAGTTTGTGTTGATTCAGTTCCAACTGAAGCTCCCTACGGTGACCATCACTAATCCTTGCAGAATTAAAAATCTATCGGCCAAAAAAGTACATATTAATAAATACACATTAATAAATATTTTTTTTTTTCGCAATTATGATTATCCTAACTTCTAATTCAGCGAAATGTGAATTTAATCTTAAATATTTGCAATTAAATTGATAACTAAAAATTTTTTCAGTTGATACCTGGTTACTTAGAAATCAGGAACAATGAGTGCTGCTCCAGATAATAATACCAAATCCGCAGCTTCGGTGGTTGGAATATCTACCAAGCATAGCAACTTTTCGCGACTAACATTTGAGTACAGAGGTAATTTCAGAAAACCAGCAGGTGGCTTTAGTATAGTAGTTTGGTCCTCAGCATTTGTGTAAGGTTTAAATGTAAAAGATATTTCCGGAGTTTTATAATCCAGTGACCGATTATCTGCATTTGCTTTAATTGTAAGTTTTCCGTATGTGAAAACCGCGCCATCCACCTAAAATATTATGAGAAGAATATTTAAATTACTCACTAAAAAGGGTGTGCAATGCATAGAAATATTTATGCAACAAAAATAATAATTCTCAAATGTTTAATTTTACAAATATGGTAACATAAGTTAGAATCTGCAATCTACTACAATAAATGTCAGCCAATTTGCCGAACTGTCAATCAAAAGCAAAACCAGACGACCAGCCAGTAGAAATATCCGCAAATTCTTTAAATTTCAAGGCAAAAAGCCTAAAAACAATATATTTTCTTTAATAATAGGAATATATAATTTGTTTTAAAGTGGAGTATCATTTTATGGCCAAAATGGGAAAGGTGAGTGTTAATAGAGAATAAACGAAAACAGCTACAGCAGAAAAAGTCATCGTCTAATTGTTTACTCCAAAACAAAATAAACAAGTGTGCAGAGAGGTAATTTTTTTCAATTACCTTCAGCGGTGCTACGGTAATAATAGAACCGATTGCTTGTCCACTGTGTTCCATACTGCTATTTACTACGTTGGTGACTAGCTGAAGATCCTTACAAGACGTTTTCATCTGCACGGAATTTGTTAGCTTCAAGCTAGAGAATAAAGTGCCGCTATTGAAAACAGTGGACAGGTCTATTTTCTGGCCAAATTCCAAGTGAATGTCTGAACGGTAACGCAGTTCTGCGGCTTTTGCACGTAAAATTAGGCCGCGTATATAGTCAATTGCTATTGGTGGTCCACACCAGCAGCGTAGCCAAGAACCTGGTATCTGAAATATACAATTGTATAACAAGTGGAAAAATAAAAATATTTATACTTACTTGATTTTCCGCCAGGGTTTGTAATAAATTAAAGTCTACCGCGGTTTTGGTATTTTTAGAACCAGCCTTGAGCCAATTATGTACGAGTGACAGCGTATGGTGCACCTCTTGGAAACATTTGGCTGCTGTTCTTAATTCAGTAGCAATAAATAATTGCCATGGTGATGCAAGTTTCGAAGAAGCATTCATATCTTCGAGACTTTTTTGAATTGTACATTTCTGTGAGATAAAAATAATAGTGTATAAAACTTATTATTTCTTTCAAAACTTACAACAGCTAGTTTCTTCCAAAGTGCCAAAATCGGTTTAATTTGCTTTTCCAATTTATTTAAATCATTGCTTTCCTGTTCACGTTCAACTGAATCTTCTGCGCTATCGGGTTTCTTGTAGTAAGACACTCGTAACGCATTGATAATATTCTTTGAATGTTCAATTTCACGATTGATATTTGTATAGTTTGACAAGTGGAATACTTCTGGTTCATCCGAATCGGGAAACTTCGAAATTGCGCTGATATAATCGAGCACTTGTGAACTTGTAGGTACAACAACTTTCGTATTTAACGGGCTCCAACGATTGCTTAAGACTTCAGCTGAACCAAACTCTTCTAAATAGCGTTGCAGCACTTTTATATCGCGTGCGTTGCTTATGCGACCACCAAAAGCTACATTTTCCAACAAACGTTGCAAAATCGTCCAATCGCAACGCCCGCTGCTCATTGTTTTATCCAACCAAGTCAGCACATCCATAGCAGCTTTCAAATCAGCCTCACCAAACTCGTAGTATTTGGACCATCCTTGTGGTATGAAGTTGCGTCGCTCCTGCAGCACGGCAGCGACGATGAAAATCACGATTCGGATTTTAACTAGCTTAGCGTCCTTCGAAATGCTGCGATATTCACTTAACATAAAGTTTTGTAACATGCGACGAACCTTTTGCTTAATACCGTGTGGAAACTCATATAAAATTTTCACAAACTTGTACATAATCGTCTCATTAAAGCCACGAGTTGATTCACAAGTAAGCCATAAGCGAAATCCATCACGTTTCTTCAATAACTCAAGTTCGCGATCTAGCTCGGACAACCAATCTGGTACTAGATGCACATTTTTTATGCAAATCCACTTGCCAACCTCAGCAGCTTGTCGCACAGCTTCTAGTGCTCGACGTTCCATACCACGCCCAACGGAAAGTTCTGTATATTTCTCCAAACCAATTTTTTTGATTGCAGCACTCCTAATTTCAGTGCCTGGATCATTTTCTGTTTGTGTAATTACAAGAATGGGTTTGTTTTCAGTGTTTTCATCAGCAAGTTGATCCACCGTTGGCTGTGGCACTGCATCTGGGGAAATTCCTAATATTTCAACAACTGTTCGACGTAATTGCAGAAACAAAAGGTCAGGTCGAAATATCTGCACGATGAGCACACGATGAAAGGCGGATTTGATTTCCCCTAGAAAATTTAAAATCGGAAATTTTTTGTGCATTAAAATAAAATCCAAATTTGATTAGCGAAATTCAAAATAACTACCTGGTATGTCCTGCAGCTGATCTACTATAAAACTCCGCCATGCATAATCTTTCTGTAGTTGCAACTGCTCTTCTAGTTGAGGCAGTTGCGCCAGCAAAATCCTTAATTTAAGTGCTGCTTCTTGGGTTATATAATCGGGCATACGTACTGAGCCCAAATCTGCGCTGCCTGTGCTGACGTCAGCTGTGACCATAAAGTTCGTAACGAACATTTCCCATTCAGGGGCAGGTATGCGCTCTGGATAGGCGCACTTACACACATACAATGCCAACGTTAAATGGCTGGAGCGCGATATTGCGCGCGCCAAATATTGAAAAGTCGCTGCGACTAATTGCTCAAAGATTCGTATTTCGCTTGAAGAAACGGCATTATGAGTTTCAAATGTTTTCAGTGAATTGAGGAATAGTTGAATATACGCCAAGGCTGGCAATTCGTAGGATACGGTGAGTTCCATGTAAAATTTCGCTGATTGAGTGCAAAGCCCTCGTAGATTCGTAAAATCTGAAAGAAGTGACTCTTTCACGCGGGCACTTTCCTTAAGTGACTTATCAATGATATTGCTACTCTCTTTGACCTCATTGAGCGTGCTCAATAGCATGTCATTCTTCAAAATGTCACCTTGCGCCGTTGAGAGCTCTTCCAGCAGTTTGTCCTCTAGTTCGATGCGTTGCTTCAAGAGCACACCTTCATTTTTTAACAATTCTATACGCTTACGTTCCAGTTCTGGGTTCTTTAAAACTATTGCTTTTGACATGAGTTGATCCGCTAGACCAATAGCGGTAACAGTAAAAGGTATACAAGTCAAATAGCTCAAAGTTTCAGGTTGAATGTTTAACTTATTAGTTTTCGTAAAGAGTATAAGCTGGAATTGTTCGTGTAAATCTACCATTTTTGAGCCCACTTCTACCAGTTTCTTGCCGAACTTGACGAAAAAGCGTCCATGCAATAATTGTAGCAGTGGCGGACGCATCTGCTGACAATCCTGCACCACGAGCACTTTACCAAAACGCACGGCCAGTTCAAGGATATAGCTCAAACGTTCATTGTTTTGCGTAGTGATATCGTAAGGTCTTGCTTTGGAGCGCAAATATTCCTCTAACCATTTGATGGCTGTCTGTGTGGGGTCTAACACCAAAGGTATAGGGCAGCTGCTATAAGGCAGGTCAACCATTTGACGTAGTAACGCAGCGTTTTCGATTATCTGCGCATCAGATGCGAGACCCATACTCTCCCAAATAATTTGTTCCTGCTCGGTGAGTAAGCTCTTACGTAGATCGAATGGCCGTAACTGTAGTTCGCCAAGTAGGCGATCCATACTGAAGCTGAAATATGATGAAATAGTTTAAAAATGGTGGCCAACTGAAATAAATATAAAATGTTACCTTCTACGCTCCAAAGTGAGATGTGAAAAGTAGTTGATGGCTAGCGCAATCAAGAGCGATTTGGTGTCCAGAGTTTTATGTGATGTTTTATATTCCTCCAGTTGGATGCTCCATGTATGGAACTCAGAGTTAAGTTTCTCAATTAGCACCTCAGCGGCATGCAGGGTTTTACGCGCATCGTCCAGTTTAATCTCCAGCACAGCTGCTTCCTGTGTGTAAGAGTTCAGCTTAGTTGACAACTGCTTTACGCGATTGTCCACATCGTCTAAGCCGCTCATTAAGCTTTGCATTTCACCTTCGGCGACATCTAAATTGCGCTGTAGTTCATTTTGTTCGCGCTCAAGTGGACGTATGCTTTGTATGACCTTCGAGTAGCGTACACTGGCCTTCACCCAGGCGGCAAGTGGTGCCGCAGCGGCAGAAGCGCGTTTCGCATTCTTCATTTCAAATGATTCTGCTTTTGCTTCCAATAGCTTTTCAACAGCGGCACAATGATCCGGATTTATATGTGCTGGATCCAAAGATCGTATATCTTCTTTCACACCGCGTTTGGCCAGGAAGGTCTTCATGCTATTCCACGAGGTATCACGGATACCCATCAGCCGCAAGACGCCCTCAAGTATGTCACGTATAGTCTCAGGCGGTGCACGTAGTGAGCGTATCTCGGAGAGCGCTTCCGATTTTATTTGACCCACTGCCATACTGGCCTCTGCGAGTATGGGTTCCACTTCGGCGAGTTCTTTTTGTATCTCCTTCTGACGCACTTTCAATTGTTCGCTACTTTCTTGTGTCTTCTTTTTCAGTTCTAGCATGTTAGTTTTCTGGTCGTTGGCGCTCCGCATAGTTGCTGAAATCATTTCGAGAGCATCGTTGGCTAACTTGCGTTTATCAGCGAGCGCCTCCTCCTGTTGACCGGCGTTTGATTTGAGCGTGTCTACAACGTTGTGCGCAGCGGCCAGTTTGTCAACGCCATGCTGTGTTGGAATGAAGTTCGAACACAGTTTGAGATTTTTTTAAGGGTATAAATTAGAGATGGATTTACCTGTAATTTGACCAACCTCTTATTTATGTCCTTTGCAAAATTGGTGTAAATATAATAGTAGGAGCAAATCAGTTGATAATAACGCTTTGGTGCCTGCTGCATTACCAAGCTTTCCACAGCGTCGGTAAAGTAGGAGAATACAGGCACTGCGCCTCTGCTCCCCATAGCCTCGCCAAGCATTTCAATACATTTCTTCGGCAATTGATTTTGTGTTTCGGTGCAAGGGGCACGTATGAAATACAACTCCATGTTACGGTAAAGCGCTGGAAACTTGCTAAACATCCCGTTAAGCGCGGTATTAGCTGGATCCAGTGTAATGATAAGGTGCAAATTCTTCTTAGCTTCTGTAATTAAAAATTATTTTTAAGCAGAAACAGTAAATACTTGGGGCAATAACTGTACTTTTCAAAAAGTAGGCGCTTATTGGCTCCTGAAAACCATCTAACTGTGCAGCATGCTTAAGTGAACTTGCTATAGATTCCAGATCATCGCCAAATAAGTTCAGTATTTCGCTGCCCTCAAGCATCGCTTCAATTGGTTTTAAAATATCCGGTGCGAATGTGATCCAGCAGTGCTCTATGAAAAGTATAGTGCATTGGTTCTCAGTCGCTGCAGTTTGCATAGCCTGCATGAGATTTTTTTTACATAAATGAAAAATTACCAAGTATTAGTTGTTAATTATACCAATTTTAAGTCGTTGTGAAAGTCTGGTATCCCATATCCAGATCCTCCTTGTGTGATATAAATTTTGGCTTGTTGCAAATTCGCTGCCGCATAAAGCGCATCGACATGTCTGCCACCAGGGCGCGAAAGCATCAGCAGATGTGTCTCATCACGCGCTAGTACACGTGCCACTTTTGCTGTTAAATCAAGTAGCTCTCTGGTAATCGGTTGGTCAATGACGAAGGACTCAGCGCCTAAATAGCGAAAATTTTGTTAGGAGGCGGGCGTATAAATGAGTGAATATTTATTCAAATTTACTGCAAATTGTTATCTGTTTCTGCAACTCTTCTAACCACTCATCGTGTGCGAGTGCACGAAGTTCAGCGTTGTGCTTCGTCGACTTGGGCACGAAGAATACCTTCTGTGTGTTTAAAATAAAGTTAGCGCGATTATAAATTGAAAATGTACCGTTGTAGAAATCTATTTATGTTTGGCGTTACCTCTCTGCCATAAAATTTACGCATTGTCTGTCTGAAGATGCTCTGAAATTCATGCACATCTGACTCACTGACCAAGCGATCTTCGAATATAGATATCACTTCCGCACATAAGGCCTAAATTAGTTGAAATTGTACAGTTAGAAAAAAAAAAGATTTTTTGAATTCCACGTTAACTTAGTTACCTCGTTGAAAGCTTCAGCGGGATAATATTTCAGATTGTGCAATAACTTCATTATAAACTTTGGATTGAAATTGTAATGCTCCCACACGTGGGAGGATGTTGAGAAAGTTGCACGCACCTGTGTGAAGAGAAATGATAAATTATATATCTACTGTTATAAACTGTATGCTAATACGCAAGCTTACTTTCTTGAATAATTCCAAAAGCCCCTCAACCACGTACTGTACGTTCACTGCTGCCGTTTTAAAGTGTCCGCTTGCCATTATGGGTTCCAACTGGCTCTGCACGATTGTCAACATATCTGCATCGTTTGGGTAACTAACGCGCAGAAATTTGTTTATCGCCAGAAAACGTGGCGGTAGCTTGTGTAGCCCTCCACTCATTAAAGACCTCGCGGCCTGTGAAACCGAGCCACATATTTGCACACCACTAATATGTACCCATTCCAAATTGTCTGCGTAAAAACCGGCACGTTGGACCAATTGCAGCAGTAGTTCCATAATATCACTTGTGCCCCATGAATCAAAATAACAGAGATCCAGATTTTTCAAAAACAAAACCAGACGCGTTTGTCTTGCTTTGAATTCTCGGCCACGCAGACCACTCACAATGACACAGTTCTGGTAAAAAATATTAACCGTTAAAAGGGAATAAATTGTCGAAAGTATCATAAGGCTACCTGCTTCAAGCAATGCAAAACGTAGGCGGGGATTAATTGCATCGAACAGTTAATGACAATTAAATCATAGCCGGCATATTCCTGTACAGCCTGCTGCAACAACAGCGTCTTGGCCGCTCCTGTAGGTCCTACAATGAGAAACGGTGTGTTGACGGGTGCGCTTAAATAGGTGCGTAAGGTACTCAAATAAGATTTGACGGCTGCTGTTTGTATGAGCTGTACCGCGCCGCTAACGCCAACTAACGGTTGGTTCTCTGACGCATAGAACTCAATCGCACCGCGTTTGTTTTCAAAGTAGGCAAGTTCAGCGTGATTCGGATTGCTGATGTAAATATTTGCGCATTCAAATACATAATTGGCGAGTTCATTGTGTCGTTCGGGTGGAAGAAATCCATATAAAGCACAGCATAATTTTATAGAGAACTCATCACGCCTCTGTACATTGTGCAGCATCAGCAGCAATGTGCTTAGTAAATTCCAGGTATTTAGAGCGGGTAGAGAGCTGTTGGGTTTATGTGTAAGATTACATTAATATTGACTGGAAAATATTTTTGTTCAGAAACATTTACTAGAGATACTCCTTTTCGACCCATAGTGCGGCTGGCTTGAACTGCTCATCAATATAGCTGCGCAAGTCGCCAAACTCTATCTTGACTAGCATGGAGTCCAGTATTTGTGTTTGTGGAAAGTCGGCCGCGCTGTTGTAAGAGCAAACATATATACATTTATATAAAAATAGAGATTTCTCAAAATATTACTTCATGTTCACAATGCCCATACGCGATATGGTCGCTGGGGAAGCGTGTCGTACGTCATCGGTCTCGAAAATAAAGTTCACATTGTTGCCGAATTGTATGCGCCAACCTGAAGGCAGCGTAAGCAATCTGCAAGTAAATTGATATAAATTAAATTCCGAAGATGGATTTCAGTCACTAGTCAAAATTGACTAATTAAATCTCTCCTCAACTCATTTTTATTTCCAGCTCACCCCTGAGGAGGAGGCACGCAATAAGATGCTGATGCGTGAACGCGATCGGGAACGAAAGCGCATGAAGCGCCTCAACCCCGAGTATCGTCGCATGGAACAGGAACGCGATCGTGATAGAAAAAAAGCACGGCGCGCCAACGAAGCCTTTCGGCAGTTGGAGAAATTACGTGACAAAATACGTAAAGAGCGTAAAAAGGGGATAATCAGCGAAGAGTCGCTGCAAGTTGAATTTGCGAACGTACCGCCAGTGCCTGTTGAACCAGAGGTTATCATTTCGGATCCGCTGCCCATCGATGCCGACGCTCCTACACAAAATAGCAGTCGCCAACGTGTCAGTGTTGGGGTGAGCGCACCTAGCCATAATGTCAGCCATACGTTATCAACTAACGGTCTTGCTAACACAACAACCGCAGCGCTTAGTGCAGCGGTGGTATCAAGTGCCTCCGCAGTGAGTGGTAATATACACCAACATACACCTGTTACGCGCATGACACAACTAAATAAAGGTCTACTCTATCCACCACCAAATTTCGCACACCATCCACTTCCAATTGCTGGTGTATCGCTAATGCCACAATTATGCCATCCTATTTTACATCAAAATCTAAGCGCTTCATTGTATCCCACCAATGGCATTAAACAAGAATATCATCCGATCAAACAGGAATATAATCCGGAAACGTCGGTCTCGCCTGTTAATGTTAATGCTCAATTGTCTCGGGCTTCGAGACCGGCCAACGTGGCTGAAGATCGTGATTTAGCAATAATTGAACCAGAAATAATTTTACACACTTCCACCGATATTATTGCTGCGCCACACCACTTCCAAAATGCGCATGCGCACGCCCATCATTTGCATCAACAACAGTGCAGCATGTTCCAACATATGGCGCCGCAGGCGCACATGTCACAGATGCGCACACATGCTCCGTTACCACCGCCACTGCCAGCCACTCATGCGCATCACCAGCAGCAACACCAAATGCAGCACTATGCGGCTAATAAAGGCTCTTAGTACCGTAAGGGACAACAGCAGAAGCTTGGCAATGTGAATTTAAGCTAAAAGCAAGCAAAACCCTTCGAATGCAATCGTTTTATAAACAACTTTTTTACTTGCAATTAGCCTTAGGATTAAGTATTCTTTATAGTTGTTTAGCAGGCGCTGCCGATAAATTGATATTTTCATAGTCACATAACCTCCACATTACATTCACTCAAATTTCATTAATACGAATTGAATTCGCTAATTCGCATAAACATTAACCGTTTTCACGAGGGAGAGAATATGTTGAAGAATGATATTGTTGATTTCGAAAATCGTTTTTAAGTGTAAAATTTTAATATTTTATCTATAAAACAGAAAACGCTTTAGTGCTTAAAACATTTAAATGCAATATGTGACGCATTATTTTTCATATTATTTTGTTTAAGTTAAAGCTTAATTTATAAGTGTTTCATAATAATTATACTGTATCCTAAAAAATTTATCTAGCGGATAAATATTCTAAAATTATCCGAAGAGTTATTTTGACGAAAATAAATCTAAGCTCGTAAAAGGTCGAGTCATCATTAATAAAATACATATTTTCTAATTTAGAAAAATTATTTTATTCAGAAGGTAAACGCTTTCTAAATGTAATTGTCTTATGTTTCAAGGAGGCAAAGTTTGGTGGTGGCATGAAATATTTTGAGGCGGCAGCCCATTCACAATATTGGCATCAAACATTTATTTTACGTACGATTATTTTAAAAATATTTTATGTAAGATTTTTCTAGATGCGCGACTGGAGTTAGAAATTGAAGTTGATGATATATATTTAAATATTAAAAGCTAATTTTACATCCTATATAATTTACCGTAGGGCGCAGAAATTAAACCACATGTATATCTGTCAGAACACCGCACTTCGTTCAGCGCCAACAATCCTTTACTATAGTAACCCTTGTACAACTGTTAAAATTTCTTTATACTTATTTGGACCTTACACATTTATCAAACCTATGACAGTAACCACTTCTAAGCATTTTGACAAAACTAAACATTTAACACCTCCCTAGCTTTTCCCTAACCCTGTTGAAACATTTTCGTTTTCGGCGTACGTATGTCTAAACTTTTCTGAGTAGTTTTCAGATGTCATGTGTAAACACTGAATGTATATTGCTCTCGTAAAGCCACCGCTTGTAAAAAAAACTCGGGTTCTAAATGTGAATTGAACTTAGGTTGGGCAAAGTAGTCGACGTATTTTTAATTCGTTATATAAACCTTTTCCATATAACACCGATTCTGGCGATTAACTTATTTTTCGTATTTGGTGCTTCCTTTTACATCGGCCACCGAACTTATTTTTAAAACTAATTTGTGCATTCATTCATTGTGTCTACAACATATTATATATTATATAAGTAAATTGCTTACGCCTCATACGCGGGCATTTTTATTTAAAGATATTTGCGACCTTTTCTTTGAAATAAATCAAGTGTTACTTTTAGATAAATAGTGTGTGCTCCCCAATATCTTGAGTACAATTCTATTCACCGTCGCCTTAACTGACTTTATGACATAGTATATATATGTCAAACTGCAAGCAGCCACATAGCCGCTAAGAGCTTTCTAGCCTACTTTGCTTGACTATAAGCCACTTTCGTTGACATTTCATTGACTCACTTAACCACTTCTTATGACCTTAATACACATTCACTCACCTATTATCATCTAGCACCGAATTCAAAGCTTCAATCCATTCTGGATCAATGCTGCCATCGCACACTATCCACGAGTGAATATTTGACGGCTCCGCGTTCACCATTACAGCCGTATTGGTCAACACGCCGTCCATCCATTGCCGCGTGTCTGGGTCAAGGCGCCCTAGTAGTTGAACGCGGCTCATCGATTTTGGATTGATTGTATGTAGGCGGATTTGTGTCGCGTTCATTGGCGTCATATCGGTTGATGTCAATTGCATGGCAGTCGACATCAAAGCTTGTCTTAGCAATGTGATTACTGTCGACTTTCCACACCCTGGAGGTCCGACTACTACTACACCCATACGCTTGTTGAGCTGTTCATGCAACTGCAGCGCCTTTTCGATTTGCATGACGTTGACGCAGAGGCCAAGTTTCCCAAACGCCTCAGCTAACGCTTGTTGCAGCTCAGATTTACAAAAAGCGACTTTTTCAATTTCCGGAAAAACGTTTGTCACTAACATATCGAATCGAGCCACATCGTGTAGATGGAGTTTCGATAGAATGGACATGCGTAACATGTATACTACAGTTGACATTTCCATATTCAAACTGCTAACCGTAGTGTCTGCTGTTGTAATGTCAATGCTCTTGATCGTTTTGTTGTTGCTTAACTGAGCACGTAGTTCAGTGCCGCAAGCTAGTAAAATGGTTTTCAACTCGCGTAAGCCCCAATCATAGTGGCGTTGAGCGGATAACATTTTTGTGCACAAATCGAAAAGTTCGACAATGCGTTCGGCGATTTCGTTGGCGTGTTGAAATCCCTCCACAAATAGCATGACACGTGATATTTCCAACGGCTCTGGCTGTTGCATCACAATTGGTCGAAACAGCGCTTGTATGTTGCCGGGTAATTTTTGGCGGCCTCCATAGTCTGCGCCAGCTGGATTTAATGTGACAAAAATACCGCAATGCTGATTAAGCTTGACCTATTGAAGGCAGAAAGGATGTTAAGAAATCTTATGGAAGCATTACAAAGGAAGTTTTAAAAATTAGCTATACGTTTGTGATTTGTTAAACTGTAATGCCTCAAAGAGCAATAGGCTTTCTGATTACCAAAAATTCCAATGGCATTTGACTACATGGATTGTCGGAATGAAAGGAGCTGCGACCGTGTGAGTCAGCTCAAATTTGAACACACTCAATAAAGTAACCGTACCTTTTGAGACATTTTTGCCATGAAGTATCAAAATTCCCATTCAATTTGATTACGTTGTTAAATACTTGTATACCGATCGAGCAAAACATAAAATTTAACAGATAAATGATTGAGATCAAACAATTTGATTACATTGCGATGCGGGTATTATATGTTTAAATACATTTTTAGATTAATTATTATAAATTTAATCAATAGTTAAATAGTTATTCCACTATTCGGGGCGGATATGAATTTAATAAATCAGATATTATAAAACTCGATTCAGTCGATTTTGAGTTATGCATAATGTAACTAACCTAATCTGATTTTATTTTTTGAGGGCTGAGTAAATGGCATAATTATGTAATTTTAATACAACATCAAAGAGAAGGAAGAAAGACGGGTTTCAATCAGGTTTTATATGTTGGTGATTTATTAATTGGATCCAACTTCGCGATATATGGAAATTGAATTATAAAATCCGTTTTGGGAGTGGTTGAAGTTACCAATGCAGGAGAAAAGCATTTACCCAACTTCAGTGAGGTTCCTTATTTTTCGTATCAGATAATTGGAGTAGATTTAAAATCAGAATTGGATATTTCTTATGTCTATTCATTACAGAGCTATGAAGGTAAGAAAAAACATTGTTTTGATATGAAGAATATTGAGAGCCTCATTTGCCTCACTGAATTATGATTTTATTATTGGATGCTTGCTTTATATATATACTTTTAGTTCAAAAATGCTCACTAACTGCGGATAAAGAGGCGATTGCATTATAAATGCAGCATATAGCCTTAATACTACACTTAGACTAAGTAATTCGCATAATAGTTGAGATAAACAGAAATTTTTCAGTCTTTTAGCTTATAAGTTCGTATGAGTATTCAAAGTCATTCAAAACGACCAGTAAAATGCATTTGATGAAGCTTAAGTGTATGAAACGTTTCCGACCACAGATACTTACGTTTCTCTCGCCAATTTGCACCACATCGGCCTTATCCTTTAAAGCCATCTGTATGGGTTGTATTAGCATAGAAATTGCCGAGAGCGTTGCTTCATGCAGACGATTGAATTCATCAAAGCAACCCCAAGCGCCGCATCGTGCCAGTCCAGTTAAAATTAGGTTCATCGATTCAGTGTCCACATTCTGATTTAAAAGCCCACAGCCAACCATACATTGTGCGGTATGAATTTGCATTTGTATGTCGTTTTGTCATTTTGTTGTTGGAAGAGATAGTAAAAGGAAGCTTGTATTAGCATCTCGTTTATCCGAGACCATGTGAATAACGCAACATCCTTAACTCACCTCATCGCAGTTAAAAACCAACACTAAGCGACCCAACATGGCGCCCAACGCCTTCACACACTCTGTTTTGCCAGTGCCAGCCGGTCCGAACGGATTGCCACCCAGACCCATATGCATCGCTTGTGTGAGGATGAGATAACATTTGTGCGTCAGCTTGGTGTTCACCAGCTTATTGGGATTGCCGAGAAATTCGTACGAGTACTCGAATTCAGCGTAAACCATACGCATCACGACTAAGCGTCCGTCAATGCCGGCCAAATAGAACTTCAACTGGCTCAGCCAATGCCAATCGGTGCTGTGCATAACATTATGTTGCTGTAGGTCCTCCACCACCGATGCGTAGTGCACCAAATCGAAGAGTAGTGCGCGCAGTTTAATCTGCAGCAGTGTGTCGTTTGTTTGGTTTTTCATATTGGCGAAGTGTGTTATTTCAGTGTTCAACGCCTGATGCAGTTTTCGCAATGACATGGACTGTATGGCTTTCTCGGCTTCATGGGTAAATTGGATGGCGCGACTTGTGCTTAATACTTGGATGGGGTGTTTTCGTAGCATCGACTCGGAAAATTTGTCGGCACCAGTGACTGTGTAGCATTCAAATATTGCATCCTTGAGTGTACGCTGTATGGAGTTAACTAAGTGATTGAGCCAATCCTGACGAAAAGTAGCATGCAAGAAGAAGAAGAATAAAGTCAAAAAAGGGTTGAGTAAGTGGAAAGTCGCTTAGAAGCAGCTAGTTTGTGTTTGTCTGCTTTGCCAAAGTCTTGTTTGTACACCAACCTCAATGGGTCCCTTTATAGGCACGACTTGTTGCAACTGCAGCATATCGCCTTCGGCACTTTGCACAGATTGTATAGTGTAAACAGTTGGTTCTTCGCTCAGTGACTTTGCTATGCCTAAACTATGGCAGCCGGGGAAGAGCTTTTTAATATGTTTTTGTATAATTTCAGCATCTTTTGTGGCTTGTCCCAATATCTCGAGTAAGTCATCATCACCAAGAAAATAAAAGCGTGGAAATGAGTTTCGCTTGTCCTGCATATAAGCCGAAGAGAAGACGTCGCGCATTAGTAAAAGTATAGTAAGCGGCTTACCATACAAGCTTACCAAAATATAGGTCATGAGGTTGTTTTGACAACGTGCTAGCTGCGTTTCTAGTGAATTCACAATGGTTGATATGTTATTAATCTTGGTAAGTGATATTACTCGAGGATCCGCTTGAATTTCACGCATCACATAGCGGAAATCCTTGTCAATACGACGAAAAAGTGCCTCTTCATTACGTAAGGTACCCGCGCCGAAAACCGGCTCCAGATACACCCAACTATTTGGAAAAATATCAAAAAAATATTATTGATTAAATAATGTTGATGAATTGATACTAGATCAGATTGTGTCATATATTAAGGA